AAGACTGATTTCTAGGCAAATGTTTCTCAAGATGGGTCACAGACCATTGCTTTACAGCCACCTGAGAAGTTGTTGAAATGAACATTCCTGGGCCCCACATGAAATTCATTGAATGAGAAGCTCAGACATAAACACCCTAAATTCTTTTAAACTCACTAATGTCGGAGAACCATCTAAAGATTTACAGTTGATTCAAGAAAGGGTCACATTGATAAGTAATTCAAAGGTAAGCTACAAAGAATGCCTTGCAAAAAAAAATAGAATGATGGAAGCTTGCAGAAATATATTCATTTTTAATTGTGCAGATTCAGATTTCTCTTGGAAATGCTTGTGCAGAAAATATTACAATCCAACAGTTTCTTACCACTCCTCCATTCTTCAATATCATTTTTAATTAATGACCACATTCAGGACCCTGCATAGCAGTGCCTTCTGCCAGCCACCTCTAAATGTCTTCTACTGCCCTGGCTGGAGTTCTTAATTCCTCATCAAAGACTAACAGCATAAGAAAACAGGGCTGGAGTATCTGGAAACCTTCACTTTGATGGTAAATAAGGTCTTTCATAAACTCTGAATGTGTTGTATTCCTCTCCACTTCCTCCATTGAAACTTCAGGCTCTGTCTGCCAGGGGGAAAGAAAAAAAAGGCAACAACCAAAATGATGGACCAGATCCCAGTTTTTTTCCTGAAATACTAATGAGACTGAAACATCCAATGACAAGTAGATGGGGAAAAAGAAAACCAAAGAGTAAGGAGACTGGGTAGTAAACTAACTCAGTCATTAAATTTAATTCGTATGCATGAAGTTGGTATGGTTAGAATCTGTTATCATAAAATTCAAAAAGCCAAAGCCCAGTGCACAGTTGGCTTCCTTTGGTCAGGTGCAGACAAGGACTACTCCCGGACTGAAAGACTGAAAAACCCAAGGCTGCCTTTGTGCAAAAAGACGGTTGTCATATTTCCCATACAGGCCATTTCAGTCTTACTGCCATTTCAATACAACTATTTCCCCAGATAAAGTAATAAATCAAACTTGGTGCTAAAGTTCAGTAAAAGATATAGTACAGACAAAAAAAAAATTGAAAGCCCGCTTTATTACATGCCCATCTTGTTAAACAGAGAACTCCAAGAGTCATACTGTTCTTTATCCACCGGTAAATTGATTCTGTCATTTTCTTTACTACTCTGGTTTATGATAGACAACCCTAGACTATATAAGTACAGAAAAATATTGTGGATGCATTGGGACTGAACTAATGCACATTTAAGAGTCTCACACAAGAAATAACTCTAACAAATACTAATTAATTTACTTTATCATTCATGCCTAATACCTCATTTACTTCCACTTAATTTTTGAGGCCATTTAGTCAGCATAAGCACAGGATATTCTGGAACATGTAATTAATTCTAACATATGAATATAAGAATTTTAGAATATGTATTGCTTAAAAGGACAAAATATTACTTTCATAAACCACATTTTCGTTTCTTCTACAATGTTTTACGGTATGACAAAACAAATGGTTTAGGCGTCATTATTTTAGCAACGACCTGAAGTTTCTTACGATACGATCATTTCTAGACTAGTTTAAATAAGATCAAATCATCCTGATAACCATAAATCTAACCTGAAATGGATAATTACTTTCTCCTTATGAAAACTTAACCTGCAATCATCTCAGTAAAATAAACAACCCATTGTGGTCTGGGATTAGTCTCAGAAGAAAATCATCTTTGCAGGGCCCATCTGCTAAGCCTTCTCCCCCATCACGTCCTTAGAAAAATCTCCTCCAACCTCACATACCTTCAAGCTATGCCCCATTTCTCTTCTTCTGAGAGATATTTCTAAAGAGTTGTACTTACTGCCTCTGGTAGGCAGAATAATGCCCCCCTAAAGATATTTACATCCTAGTCCCCAGAACTATAAATACCATACTTTACATGG